AATATTATATTGGTTTCAGGTGTACAACATAGTGATTCAACAATTATAAGACATTATTACTTGCTCATCACAGTAAGTGTAGTTGCCATCTGTCACCACACAAAGCTATTATATTTTACAATATTTACTATATTCCCAATACTGTACTTTCATCCCCATCACTAACTTATTTAGTGATGTGATTTTGTGCCTCTTCATCCCCTTCACTTATTTCACCCATCCCTCTAGGTCTTATATGCTACATGTAGATTGCATACATACTATACATAAAATTCTATAACACCATCTTACTAAATTCTATATTATTCTAAATTCTATATATTACCTTTAGATTATATACTATATATAATCAGTATACTACATACAGATTCCTATACTTGTATATTGCATATACATATTCATGTATATGTATAAATTCCTATTACATACAGCCAGTAGACATTCCTTTAATTAAAACTAACCACAAACTTGTAATAACAACTTTGAAATTGATTTGTATTCCTTGTATTACTTCACTGGCATACACAGGAAATCAATCCTTTTTCATGGAAAGCTTGTTATTACTCAATAACAAATAGAAGAATGTTAGTGCAGTTTTAAAAGTTATTAATAATGAGTTTTAGTTATATTGGGAAGTGCTCATGCTATAAAGTTAAATAAAACATCAGGACATTGACAGAGGTGTCATTAATCTCAGCTGAAGGGATGTCATCCAATGAGGCAGACAGAGCACAGGCTCTTGAATCTCAGGGAATCCTACTCTTGAGCAAGTTTCCTAAGCTCCCTAAGACTCAGTTTTGTCAATTGTCAAAAGGAGGTAACAAGAGGACCAAACTCAAAGAGTGAATATGAAGATTCAATGTCAGAGCACAGAGCCCTGAGATATACCTAGGACTTGAATTTTCATATGGAAATTCTATGTTTGACTTTTTGAGGAACCACCATACTGCTTTCCACAGTGCTATACCATTTTACATTCCCACCAGCAATGCATAATAATTTTGATTTTTCCACATCTTCACCAATCCTTGTTATTTTGTTTTGTTTTTCTTTATAATTGCCATGTTCATGGGTATGAAGTAATATTGCATTGTGGTTTTAATTTCCATTTCCCTAATGATTAAAGATGCTGAGCATGTTTTCATCTACCTAGTGCATTAACTTTGAAAGAAATGTGTCTGAAACTAGAAACCCTTGGGTTCTTCCATTCAGAAACTCTACCATAAAGAACACATTTGTATTTATTTAGCAAAGCTCAAAAGATTACTGACAATCATAAAATTCAAGAGCCATCAAATGGGCATGCTCTATCTTGCTTAGAATTATTTCTTTAAAAGTTAAATTTTCACAAAAGATCTCTGACTCAGTTCAGTGGTATATGCTAACGAACAAGCCTTGAGGTCACTAGACAGTGATCAATACTTTATTATGGAAACTCCCCACATATATGTTAGTTTTATATTTGCTAAAGTGATCCTTAAGCTTTATTTGTCTTAAAAATATCATATTCAATTCCCAAGGATTTTTTTTAAAGTAAGATATCACTAAATATCTAGCAGCCTAAGTTCTAAAATATTGTGGATCAATGCAAAAATGAATAGCAGCATTATTTTAAAGAAGTAAATAAATAAAAGTAATCATTCCTCTGCTAATATGTTACTAGGGCAAACAGTCTAGTTAAATCTTACTGCAAACTATACAACATTTATGGACTTTCTGATAACACCACTTTTTACCTTTTCCTTAGTTTTCAGGTAACTAAACATCATACACAGAGGGTAAAAATGCTGTAATTTCAACAGGGTCCTCAACACTAGAGAATCAAGAATGGGATAAATGTCTTTAGCATCTAATGAACTTGACTAATTTGGTCATAAAACCTCAGTAGCTGACATATTTATTAAGTTAACGTGAACACACTTACAACATGGAGTTGTTATGACTCCTGATAAGACTAAAGTCTGTCTGTAATTTGACTTTAGAAATCTGTTCTTCAGATTTTATATTTTTACAGGACTGAAACGAAGCAGTTGAAAGGCTTGTTTGTTGATTGTCATCTTTTAATTAGGCGAGGAAGTAAAAAGAGGAGGGAAATGTGAAAAAAAAAACACATTCACACAGTAATTCATTCAGTGCCTCAACTCTGCCAAAGTCTGGGCTTGCAAGTGTGAAAAAGACAGCGCCCAGGCCAATTAACAGGGAAGGAGAGGAAGAGAAAGAAGAAGAGGAAGGGGAAGAAAACAGCTGTGGTGCTTGCCCTTCTGGGGTACAGCATCTAGAAATTATCTAGTAGCTGGTTAATGGCTGGCTTGACAGGGAAACACTAATTCTGACAATGGAAAAAGTCATCAGAAAGTGTAGCTATGCTCTAGTCTGAGTATCAGGGAAACCTAGGAAATAAAGATGAGATGTGGGAGAGAAAGAAAGGAAACTTCATCAGGGAGAGATCTGGCTGTCAGCTACACAAGATTCAAACTTAGCCTCATTACTAGTGAGATAACCAGGACTGTGTCCAGTAAAGTAGCCAGGATCACCAGTGACGTGCTCTGGCCAAAAATATTTAACCGGAATGTAATTAAGTCTTTTGAGCTGAGTTTAGTTTTTAGGAAATAGAGGGCATAAAGGTACATGTCAATGAAAGCATGAAGAAATAAACCAACAAATCCTGAATGTGGATGTCCTGCACGGTAACTGGCCTAGTTTATTTAAAAAGTCAGTATCATTTTTAAAAAGTATCATTTAAAAATGTATCATATAAGAAAATGATAAATGATTTAAAAAAAGCAAGAAATTCAGATTAGAAGAGGTATTAGAAGCATAACAATCAAATACTGTGAGTGGTCCTTGTTGAATCCTAGTTTGAAAAAAAAAGAAAAAAGCTACAGAAGACAGTGGTGGATAAACTGGGAAAATCCAACACAGATGGCGAAATAATTATTAGGAAATTATGGTGAATTTTGTTCAGGGTGCCAATGGCATGGTGCCTATTCAGAACAAATCTCTTCATTTTTTGAAGATACAAAAATATTGTATTAGTATACAGTTACAGTGACTGCCACTCACTTGAAGTCTGTTCAGCAAGATGAAACCAACATGATGAAGCGTTTAACAGTCCTTGAATCCCAGGAGTGGGTATACACATGCTCACTGTAATATGCTTCCCATGTATTAAAAAATGCTCACAATAAAAAGCCTTGACAAGTAAATTTGAGAGATATTTTTGCAGATATAAGCTAAATGCACATTTTTAAAAATTGAAACACAACAAAATTTTACACTGTGTAAAAGGTAAACATATTTCTGAGTACCAGTTGCTTTAACTAATCTTTATTTGGAAGCTTATCTAAAAACACTGAAAATTACCTGGAGATTTACACTATATGTACAAGGCTATTGTTGAAATATGCCTTAAAGACCTAAAACAGATGGTCTCCAAGAGTTCCTTAAGCTAACTTGGGTCAACCTAAAGCAAAAGAGTTCCCTTCAGAATGAAGTCAAACCTGAGACACTGCAGTAGTCTAACATGGATTGAATCTATTTGGAAAATGTTCAGCTGTTAGTTTAACCAAACCCATATGCATCACATTCTTAATCATTCTTAATGATGAAAATGGTTATATATTTTTTCTTTAAAAAAATAATAAATTGAAAAGGTGATTGGAAAAATCAAAATCTCCTGCAGAAGAATTCTTATCACAGAAATAAAAACAAAGCCCAGGCCAAAAATGGGACTTTTTTCTCTTTTTCTTTAGGGGGGTTGAAAAATTCAAGATGTGATATATTAATTCAACACATATAGCTGGAAATTATCCAAAGTTGCTATTTTACTTAAATAAATATTATTAACCTAAACTTAGAAAAACGTCCCCTGAACTTCACATTTTGATTCCTTATATACTGTTATTATTAAGGATCAAACTTTGTGTATGAATATACACAGTATTACCTTATCTTCTACTTAAAAATCCTGTGCATTTTAAAGATACCAGTTATTCAAAGAATGTTGATTATCTGTCATTAAATTTCCAAAATTCCTATTTCAATTCTGCAGTACAAATTTCAACTATTCGTCTCTTTCAACTGATATTTCACATGATGTCAATAAGTCCTAACATAAGAGGAATTCAATGGAAATAAATAAGAATGCCAGGTAATGACTTTTCGAGAGAATACAAATCAGAAATTGGGACAATTGCTCCAAAATACCAGCCATCTCTCTTTTTCATCCCTTCCACTCAGGATTTTTATTCTTTTCTTTCACCTTCCCAGAAATACTGGGACAACCCAGACCTATGTCATATTTCTTCCCATTCTCCTATGTGTCTTACAGCAAAAGAGGCTGCAGATGTGGCCACAGCCAACCATACCTTCCTTTCCCAACTCATGCTGAAGGCTTGCCCTTGGAAGTTCAGTCACAGTCACATGCCTCACAGATGGCATGACAGGGTGAGGATGGTCAAGAAGTTTTAAATTACCTCCTTTTGTTTCCTAGCCATATTTTTTGCATACAACGATTAAACAATAAATTTGCACAGCGATGATAGCAAGACAATAGCTCAAATAGAACTGCATGTTTCTTGTCTCTTCACCCCCCATGTGTCTGCTGACATGTAGTACACAGCCTGGCATAGTATCCTCAATAGATGATTGCACCCTTAAAGATAATAATTCTTCAAGACAAAAAACTGTATGAAGGCAAAGATAAATACTGAATTGAAGAGGATTTTGAAACCTAGATCTTGGTGTTCTGAAGATCACAGCTTTTAAGAACCACATGGAAACAATTCCACTCATCTTCTCAAAGACATCTGGGAATGATAAATGTGACAAGAAATGGTACCACGGACTACTTCCCATATATTACTTAAATTCACTGGGTGGAAAAACAATGTGACCAGAATATAAACATGTGAAGAAATAAGCCAGCTTTCCTGCAGGTCATTCGAAGAGCACAACTCAGCAACCTCTAGACATTCTCCAATGGTTCTGTCCTTACCTACCTGTCTTAAGTCCAGGGTGATTGTGACCCAGTGATATTCTCTCCCATTTTGAATGCTCGGACTTTGCCACCAGTTATTGGTGCCATCTATTGCATTCAATATTGGATGGCGTTCTGTTGAAAGAAAATAAAAACATCATTCCTCTCAGTGTTTGGTTTAAATCTTTTAGCTTCCAAACTGCAATGCTGGTGGAAATGAATAGCACTGAAGGTGAACACAATGTTCATGCTTCCTAAAAGAAATCCGCAGTCATCATTTCAAAAAGTACCCATCCCCAAGGGTGCTTCCCAGGAGAAGCAACACAACTTGCCTTTAGGGTGCGCGCTGTTGCCGTCACAGATTCGGCACTGCGCATTCCGCACCGGTCGGCCAGGCACGTGCTCCACAAGTTTGCAGTACATTTCGGGCCCCTTCTCCCCACAGGTCGCATTGGTGCTGATGTGAGCATTGCTGGCAAGATTGAGGATGGCAGGAAACAGGCCTGAAAGTCAAAACTCACCAAATCAGTTCAGCCACTTGAAATTAAAAGAATGGAATTCCTTCATCTCATTTTGCAGGTGAACCGAAAAGAGATTGTATGTCTATGTGCTGAGTGAAGCGAGACTTACACAAAAGCAATACATGAAGTGGTTTCATTTATATGAAATTCTAGGATATGCAAATATCATCTATGAGAAAAAACTCAGAACAGCAGTTGCAGGGCAGGGGTTGACTGAAGGACATGGGAAAATTTTCTGGGGCAATGCTGTGTTCTATGTTTTGATAAAGGTTGGGATTGCACAGGCATATGTAGATGTGAAAAGTCACAGAATGTGTACATCTAACATTTGAGTAGATTTGTGTATTTTACTGTAGGTACATTTTATCTCAGAAAATAAAAAAAAAGAATCATAAAACAAATATTGACAAAAATGCTGAAATGCTTAAAACAAAAATGTATGGATGTCTTCATCTCACTTTGAAATGCATCAAAAAATATGCTGGATTTATGGGTAGATAAAGATGAAACACAGATATGCAAGTGACAGAGAACCCAGAGTCAAATATTTATTGTGGAATCTAGGTGGGAGGACAGAGGTTCACTGTATAATTCTTTCCCCTTTTCTGATTGAAAGGTTTTATAATAAAATGTTGGGAAAGTAGGTTTTAAGACAAGTTTCAAATGATCCAGTGTAGGGGTTTGCCAATGAAATTCAAACAGCTGTCACTTAAAAGTAGGGCATCCATTCTGTACCCACTCTGTTCCCACTGCCTCTGTTAGTACTTCCAAGGTTGTTCCTATAATTAGAATAGTTTTCTCTCTCTTCTATTTATTGTTCTTCTTTGGTGAATGAAACTTTAGTACACAAAGATCTAGGTTTCAAAATCCTCTTCAGTTCAGTATTAATCTTTGCCTTCATACAATTTTTTGTCTTGAGAGATTATTATCTTTAAGCAGCTGGTCCAAACTATTCAGAAAACAATTTTTGGATGGCTGTGAGAAACACAACTCCATCAAGTTCTTTAAGAAATTTGACTTTCTCTTGGTAAAAGAGGATAATAACAGTGAGGATTCCATAAAGTCTAGAAACAGAATGGACGTGGTACCAGAGAGGGAATATTGGTGGGGGAAGAGGGGGTCTGAACTCAGTGGGGCTTCTCTAATTTACTAAAATTTGATCTAAGATCATCAATGAAAATCCTTACTTTATAAAGAACATGCAGTCAGTATTATTTCTGAAATGTTTCTTTTCCAGTGAAATTTGAAAAAGCACAATTTTAGAAATACAGGAGGAGTTCATGTCTTGCATTTTTATTTTTTTAGGTACTGCCTAATATTTTCAATGATCTTCTCTATTAGTTATTTTAATAATTTAAGTTACAGAATAAAATGGTTATTTGTGTATGAGTTAAAGTTGCTACATTAAAAGAACTCACCATGCATCTATTTTTTAAAAAAAACTTATTATGTAGTCTTTCAAAGATTTTGCACATAAAACCAAACTTCCCATTAAATAGTTCTATCCTAATCAAATAAATAGGCCCTTAGACTCTCTATAGAAAATAGATGCTGAATACTTGTATTCTAGAGCATTAGTCTTAATTTTGAAATGTAACAGCCTTACATCATATGCTATGTCTAATATATATATTTTTTCATTAAAAAGTCTTTATGAGTAAACAGATGAATCATTATATTTAATTATGCCAATCCCTAAAGTATTATTTTTATCAACCAGTAGTTAGACACATTTTAGTTCCTAAAGTGACATGTAGTTCTTGGGAGTGTTGCTTCATGGCAAGTGGAGCAGGTATTTTTTCTGTTTGGTACGGAGATAAACACTTATTTTCTCCATTCCTTATGACCAAGCTATTCTAGTAATCTGGTTTGAATGTAGCTTATGAACCAATAATTTAAAACTGGTATGGTTTTAAACTGTGATGCTTTATACAAATAGCTAAAATGATGTCTTTCTGGCCCTGTGTCACATATACGCACTTAGACTTGCGGCACAATCAACTCTCTCCATTCCCTTTGTGCAGACTAGCCAGGCGATGAAAAGAAGAAAAGCTTCAGGTCATGGGAGCTGATATAATAGCACATTCTCATCAACAAATACTTCACCAGTTAATGTTCCAACCTCATGTTGTTCTCCCATCCAGATGCTCCACATCAACAGAACTCCCTGCTTCCTGCGCAGGGCTCCCACCCTCTCTAGAGACTGGCAGTGACCTTGAGCTGCTGGCGGGGTGGAAGTAGGCAGGTGTCATGAGGGCACAGTATTCTCTGTACCCAAGAGTCTGAGCCCCAGGTCACTGAGAAAAAGCTCAAACCTTGTGAACATAAACTTAACATAATTTTGGTGACTAACACCTCAAAATGTAATCAGCATCAGGTAGTCCCTTGTATTAGATAGGTTTTCAAGAACTGCCTATTTCCTTACCTTGCTGATATCCTCAATATCCTTTTAATAAAAGGACAGATAAATTCCTACATTAGCATGGCTGAGTAGAAAAACCTTAAATACTTAATTTCACAAAAATATCCTGGTCGTCTTTCATTAAAACTAAATCTCTCTTCTTAGATAAGCTAGTATTTAAAAAAAGCTACTCAGTGAAAATTATTCCTTCATATTACATTTATGTTCACTTCACAGTTATAGAAAATTTATTATTCCTTGTTGCATGTAACTACATCAGTTGGAGGATGAAAGAAAGTGAGAAATATGTACTAGAGGAACCATGTTTTAAAGGCAATTAAAAAAATCCTTCAGGTTGCTGAATTATTTCCAAGACTACTGACATATTTCAATAAAGGGAAATTACATGAGCTTCAAGCTGGAGGAGGGTTAAGAAATCAAAGGGTGAGAAAGGGTATTGGTCTCAAAAACCTACCAAGAACAAACATTTGATTTTACACATAAAAATCAAAAGCTGAATGAGGGCTGCAGTAGGATACGTATGTGACAGTTTTCCCATTAGCCATGCACTTGATAAATTAGACCATACATTTTTGTTGAAAGACATTACTAACTTTAATTAGTATTACTGTTTATACTAATTTGTATTTTCCCCCATTCAGGACACACAAAGGAATCATTTTTCTATCTAGTTATTTTAACCAGTGGTAATGCCAGACTCCACGAAGCATGAAATAAATTCTTTCTCATTCACCAGCAGTATTTTTTTACTTTTAATCCCCTGTCCTCAAAGCCTGAGTACACTTGGCCTACTGAAATGCATTTCAGGACCATATTAATCTACTGGAAATTCCCTTACTGATATTAGCTGAAAATTTGCCACAAAGCTGACAAACAATTGACTACATTTAATTACCAATGTTTTTACCTGAGAGACTTCAGATAGCTTAATCATTAGAGATTATACTAATCCATATTCAAAATCGATGTGATATTTGGAAAGAAAATGATTTGCAATTCTAAATTGTAGGATCTAGGGTGACATTTTCAGATTTTTTTTCCAAATGAAATTAAAAATTATGAATATTTTATACGGTTGAAAATCAAAATGGCTTTGGCTGTCAAAAGTTTTTATTTTGAAAACTAAGGCTGCTTCTTCAATCCACGGAGAAGTTTGGAAAAATAGGAATGTAAGTTTCTGAATTGAGAAATTTGTGATTTAAAAAACAAAATGTATTTTATTCTCCATTTATCCAACTCTAAATTCCTTTCTCACCCATTTACCCAACTAAACATCTATAAATTGATGAAAGAAGGCTGGTAAAAGTACCCTATTTGCAACACACTCCTTGGAACATGGGAATTGCCTGATTGAACAATAAAAACAGCACCTCTAACAGCTACAAATGGCATTATTCTGTGAAGAATCCTGGAAGCATTTAACACAATTCCAGGGTAATAATATCAAGATGTTCTAATAACATAATGAATATTCCAGGTTAATAATAATAAGGTATTCTAAAGACATGAATTTGAGGAGGATGCATGAATATTTAGGAACATATCCATAGGAGTCAGAAAAAGTGGATAAGAATGCTTGATTGTTTAAAAAAACTTTCCAGGAGAACCTCTTAGGTCTGAAGCACTAAGCTAGGCTCCTCCCTGGGACACAAGGATGAATACAGTGGGCTCTTCCTCTCTCAGGAATAAGGCTCTCACAGCTGGGAGGGAAAGAAAGAGATGTACTCACAGATTCTAATAAGAATAATATTTAAAATGCAGCAGTATTTAAAAGCATGTTAGAGGAGAGAGTCTAAAACTAGAAATCCAGTTAGGCATAACTCAGGCAGAAACACCAGGCCATGTACAGGTGAAGGCAGGTCTAAAATCCTTTCATGGCTCCTCCAATTGTTCTTCCAATCGATTTCAGCGTCCTTCCCTTGCACCTTCATATATCCATTCATGCCCTACTCATCATGCAAGTCAAGCCCACATCTTTCTGGAACTGCTAGCTCATAATGTAAATGTTCTTTGGTCCTGCCTTTAATCAGTATGCACATCTCTGCACTTACCATTTACACAAGGTTGTTAATTTGCTGACCAGTCTCCCTCCAGTTCTTCTCCCCTCAACTAGCCTCCAGAAAAATAAAAACATTTCTTGATTAAACTGTGAGTTACTTCAGGGCAGAACCATGGCCTACTTGCCCTACATTAGCCTCTGGCCTGTGGCATGCCCAATAAAGCCTGAACAAAAGAATGAGTAAATGAAGGAAAGAATATTCTCTCACTTCTAGGTCACAAATGCACAGAACCAGGAGCCTAAACTAGACTCTCATTCCTGGTTCTACCACCAACTGTATGTCTGTAGGCAAACCAATCCTTCAGAGCCTCTATTTCCTCAACTACTAAATAAGTAACTCTAGGAGCCCTTTTTCCTAAAATACTGTGCATTTAGAATTTTGCTTTCATAGGCTATCTGGTAAATTTACCCACCATCTTCTATTTGGAAATTGAGCTAAGGAATTTTTTCTCCATTCAATGTATAAAACAGTAAAGAGAAGTAATTTGGTAGTTCTTTAAC